AACACTCCAGTGTGTCCCCAGGTGAGCAGGAAGCAACAGAAAACAAGGAAGGAGGGACACACAGGGTGGGACCAGACCTCAGTGAGCCCGCCCGGAACAACCTTTGGCCACCAGCATCCCTATCAAGGGGCTTATCAGTTTGGCAGCCCGGCACACCTTTCCCAGGCTCCGTATGCAAATCGGATGCTAACAGGCCTCCACGAGCCCTCTAGGAGGCTGGGCAAGACCATGGTTGGATGGTCCAAGGAGGCCAACCTCAGTGGTATTTGAGAAAGAACTTTCTACTCACTGGCGTTGTCCAACCAGAGTGTGATTCGGCAGCCGGCCCTGGACCCGGCACAGAGGTTGTGTAGTTACCTCACGGTCATATCTTCCAGGTGCTGAGTGCTCACTACACTCCAGACACTGTCTGAACATGTCCCACGGCCTTTCTCACGCCATCCTCACGCGTCTTTCCTCGTACTCATCACAGTCAACGTCTACGCTGCCGCCATCACCATCTGCATTGCATTGTCGTGATTATCACGAAGGCCAGAAACACTGTCCCTCTGCCTCCACATCTGCATCTCCATCAACAATATCCTGTCCTGGCGCACTGTGGGGTGACTATTACTGGGCCCCTGAAATCACACACTGGGTGCACGGCTGACCTTATGTCAGCAGGAGGTTGGGGTTCCAGGTCCTTTCATTCCACTGGGATGGCCTTCAGTTTGGAAGGTCCCTTCTTGGAAACATGCTGACACACTTTTCTTAGATGACACAGGGGGCAAAGGTGAATCTGTTGAATTGCTACTTATTATGATTATTCTTTTTTACTCTACTTCTTTGGGGAGAAAAAGACCTCCAGACGAAGGTCATTCCTGTTGGGCTGAGTCAGCATGGCAGGCTTAGGAGCAGCTAAGGTGGCCATGCTGTTCACTAGCCTACAGCTCAACTGGTATCTGCAGTGAGTTACCCTCTCACTGCAACCCCCAACCTCCAGGGGCTGCCGTGAGAGGGTAGCACCCCAAGGCCACGTGTGAGTCAGAGCTCCCGGGGCTGGGGTCTCCCCTGAGGGTCTGTGCATCCCCAGGTGTCCAGCACAGTCATGACTTCTAACACCCTGCTCTGCTCTTTTTATAAGTTCATTCCTACTCGCTAGCCAATGTGGCTCAGAGCTTTGAAAATCCTAGTCGCTGTTGTAGCATCGCAATGCTCCCCTCATGTTGTCCTCGGAGGGATTAACAGATGGCAGGTTCCCTCCATTCTTGGGAACAAAGTGGGGAGGGACACGGTGGATCCTGCTGGGTGTCCTGAAGCTCCAGCAGCCATTTGGTGGGCTAGCTCCACTCTCCAGCTGGGCGAGTGGCCAAGGAAAGTCATGAGAATCAGACCCTCTCAGCTGCCTCCAGCAGGGACAAGAGGGACAGATGCCGGACAACCTGGGCTCCTCTTTGGGGGCCACGGGCCTTCTGGGGAATAGGACGGAAGCTATGCAAACCATCACTGGGAAAGTCCCTGCTCCCACACCAGTCCTAAAGGAAATGTGGGCGTGTGGGGAGCATCCATGCCCCTGGAGCAAGAAGCCTTATTTCTGGGAGAAAGCTGTGCACACCAGAAACTCAGCGGCAGCAAAGCCAGGGGAGCACCAGCAGGACTTGGCCGGAGCTCTCGTGTGGGCCGTGCACTGGTGGAGAGGGCTGACCCAGCGAGGTCTGGAAGAGTTGAGGGTGTAGGAAAACCTGGGAGAACCAGAGAACCTCAGGTTTTATACCCAGAAGGTAGTCAGGGAGTAACGGGTCTCTCGGGCTGAACCTGACATCAACTGTCCACATAAGATGCAGAGCAGATAGATCTCAGCACAAAGCCCAGCGTCCTCCTGCTAAGTAGGCATTTAGGTCCTTAACTGTGGCGTGAGGACCACACTCACAGCCAGCCTGCACCTCTGCAGACATCCTTCCCAAATAAAGGAGATGGCTGATCCATCTCCGCTGCCGACTGAATGAGCAGCAAGAGGAAAGACAGCCAGAACTGAGAATCTCCCCAAGTTCAGGACTCTTACTTAAACATAAGGATCAAGATGCTCTGGGCTCTTGGAGCAGCCAGAAGCCGGGACAGGGAGGAAACGACACCCTGGAGGAGTCCTGAGGCACCAGGAGGGTCTGATAAAGAAGAGGGGTGGCCGCTGAGAGGGAGACATGGGGCTGGGGTGACAGGGGCCTGGGGAAGACCTCGCTGTGCCACTGCTGTGCCTTCGGTGTGACTGAGGAATTTCTTCGATTCATTTCTCCAAACCCACGTTCCCCGTCCCTATAGCCCGTCTTCACACATTGCAGCTCGTCAGGTCATTTGAGGCAAAGGGGTAGCATCCAGACCACCGGCTGCACAAGGCCCCGGAAGTCACTTGGTCTGGCCCTGCTGGAGCACTAGGGGCGAGTTAATTAAATGTCTGGCCAAACAGAGCAGGCTAATTATTAAGCTGATAATTTTGTACGGCCCCTGAGTGATAGTTATAAGTATCCACATGGCCCTTGGCAGGAAGAAGGTTCCCACCTCTGGTTTAAAGATAACAAACTGACCATCTACATATCAAAGAATCGTTGTGGGAAGGAAGGAAGAATAAAGGAGGGAGGGAGGGAAGAAAGAAAGGAGGAAAAGAGAAAGACCATCTGGGAAAATCTTCCTTATAAAAATAATTTTGCTTGTCTAACTTCACACTGCTCAAGTCTGGCTCTTGTCATTTTTGTTTCCCAAGTAGTTCCCAGGACACCCAAACACCGTATTTAATCCCTCTCCTGGTGTCTAAAACGGGCCGGGGCAGGGGAGAGGAAGGTGTAAATCACACATCGAGGGAAGTCAGAGACCCAGGCTTCGCCTCAGCATGCAACGCAGGGCCAGGGTTCCCACGGAGGGCAGGGGTGGCCCAGCTCCGATGCATGTCCACAATCAGCGGGGGCCTGGGAACGGGCAGAGGACCCAGGAGGTGGTCTCTGAATTCTCTCCTCTGGCCTCTTGCTCCCCTCTGCCCCAGGCCCGCTGCCCCTAACTCAGGGGCCTCCTTCTTCTTCCGTCTAGATGAAGCCACAGCTTGAGATACTTGCCAAGGCAAGACTCAGCCCCGCAGTTGACCGCCCTGAGTGCTGGGTTCTGAGACGCTCATTGGGTCAGATCGCAATGCCAGGAGGATCAGAAGCGTGGCAAGTGTCAGGGCGATGGGGCTATAAGAAAAGGAGACCCCAACCACTCTTCGAGGACGAAGGCAGTCGATGGCAGCCTGGTCTAGGAGCCCCTCAAAGGGAAGCTAACAGGGCGGCTGCCTTCCTCTCTGCTGCGGACTGACTGTGTGCAGGAGCCTGAGCACATGCAGCCCATTCAACATCAGGAAGGGCTGTGTGATTTGCGGGGCCCAGGATGGAATGCAAGCATGGACCCTCTGGTTCAGAAGGAATTAAGAAGTTCAAGACCACAACAAAGGAGCATCAAACCGGGGATGGAGCCTTCCGCACCCCGGAACCTGTGCCTGAGTCCAGTTGCCGGGTGAGCTGCCCTGTCTGCCATTCTGGAATAACGGGGGGAGGGGCTTCCATGTCTATCCCGGGTGCCGTGGGAGGGCTCGCTGTGAAGCTGCCTGGTCCCTGGGCTCACCCTGCTCTGCACTTCTTTCTCCGGAGTCCACGGAGCAAGGTTGCAGTACGCCCACCTGAGGTGTCGCCTGGGTGCTCAGAGGTGCGTTGGCTTGGGATGGAGGGAACCAGGCGGGCGGGACAGAGCTGCCTTTCGGCCCAGGGCTCCCGTTCACAGCAGCTACTCTAGAAGAAGCCCTAGCGGGGTGCTGAGTCCTGAGAGACCCCGCCCGGGACCACGCAGGGTGTGAAACGCACCGGATTTAAGAGACCAGGAGGGCCAGGCCCAGCCCTCTCCGCTGCAGGATGAAGCGTCCACTCTTGCTGGGTCTCCTGCCAGCCCAGTCCCATCTGTACGTCAGGGTGTGACCCGCATCCCCTGGGAGGGCCTGGCCCAGGGGAAACCAAGTCCTCTGCCCTGAGGGAGTGGGGGGGGAGCCAGCAGGCCCTCCAGCAGAGCATTGCCATGGCCTGGGCGAGGGCCAGCTTCACAGAGGGCAGACCCAGCACCAGAGAGTCCTTAGGACTGCAGGGGAGCGGGAGGATGTCTGCACAGTGGGTGCAGTGGCCACAGGAGCCAGCCGTGGGAGGGCCCCTCTGCCCTCCCCTCCAAGATGATCGGAGCCTGGGCAATCTCACCCTGAACGGCAGGTTTCACAGGCCCTGCCAGCCCTGCCAACCCCCCACACCACCTCTCAGCTCCCCACTCCCCACCCACCCACCCCCAGTTCCCTGTTCCCTGAGGACAGGCTGCTCTCAAGAAATTTGAAACTCCTTAGAGCTGACAGGGTCAGGAGGAGGGGTGGCCCAGCAGCCCCTGAGGCAGGAGATACTATGGGGGCTTCTCCGCCTCAGAGGGACCAGAGGGACTTCTCAGGTGTCTAATCCCTCCGCTGGCTCAGGTCACTGGGAGGGGCTCCACTGGGGCAGACACTCTGGGGGTGGGTTTCTCCTGGGCCAGGCCCTCCCAGGGGATGGGTCCCACCCTGACCTACAGATGGGACTGGGCTGGCAGGAGACCCAGCAAGAATTGAACTCTGGCCATAACCGGTTTGGCTCAGTGGATAGAGCGTCGGCCTGCAGATTGAAAGGTCCCAGGTTCGATTCCGGTCAAGGCCATGTACCTTGGTTGTGGGCACATCCTCAGTAGGGGATGTGCAAGAGGCAGCTGATCGATGATTCTCTCATTGATGTTTCTAACTCTCTATCCCTCTCTCTTCCTCTCTGTAAAAAAATCAATAAAATATATTTTAAACATAAAAAGATCTGAACTCTGGGCCAGGCAGGCTCTGGGCTGACGGCGCTATGGTGGGACCAGGTCCTCTGGGATGACACAGGAAGCCCCCCTTACCTCCCCCACCCCACCCCCGGCACGTAGCCACCCCAAGGCTCACTCACTCAGGGGTATTGATCCAGATGATGTCCAGGTGGCAATAGTAGACGCATTCCTTGTCCTTGTAGGTGAAACACGTGCAGCGTCGGGCTCGGCGGCGTGCGGGGCCCTCCTTGGCCACCTGCTCCCCGAACCCACCTGGTCCCTGCTCTGGCCCAGGGCTCCAGGGACTTGGGCCCTGCGCTGCAGTCCTGGCCACAGTCTCGATGTCCCCCTCCGATCTGGCTGCAGGCTGGGTGCCAGTCCCCAATCCTGAAAGAGGCAGACGGAGGAGTCCCTGAGCTCCTGGGTGGGATGCCCCAAATCCTGGCGGAGGAAGACCCCCAAACTGTCTGCAAAGCTTGCAAGCTAGCTACACTTCCAGAAAGTCTCTGAGCAATGCCAAGTGTCCTGAAAAGTTTGCAAACTATGTGCCCAGTTTCCAAAAAGTTCTCAAACTATGTGTGCACTCCAGCTTGCAAGCATTTTCACTTTCTGCAAAGTCTGCAAGCTATTTGCACCCACTGGAGACTTACAAGCGTTTTGCACGCTTTCTCAAAACTTTGCGATCATTTTGCAGTTTCTGAAGGAGTTGCAAACTTTTTTTAAAAGTTTCAATTTAATGAAAAACTGGTGGAGGTGGATCAGGCCGCTGGTCTCCAGTCTGTGCATGGGCTGCATGCAACCTCCAGAGCCCCTGGGTCGTCTGTGCTCCTGCTTCTGCCCACCTCCTCCCCCCAGGAGCTTCCAGGGATGGCGAGCCCAGGCAAAAGGCTGCTCCCCGCGATGCACCCTTCCCCGCGCCCCCAGCCCCAGCGTCCTTTTGTGTGCGCTCGCGCCAGAGAGGCGCCCCGCCCGCCCCGCTTTTACCTGCAGCGGAGGTCACTGTGAGCCCGAAGAGTAGCCACAGCTCCAGCTCCATGAACCCCGATCAGGCGCGGGAGCACCGGGCCTGGAGGACGCTCTCCTGTGGCCCCAGAAGGGCTCCCGGGCCTCACCCTCCAGCTGTGGGGTTGGAGGAGGGCCTCCCACTTGCTGGGTCCCGCTCCCTCCAGGAGCTGGCTGCAGCGGTCACAGACTTCAGAGCACGCTGCCCATCCCCGCGCAGGGCGGCCGCTGTGGGCTCGGGCTTTTCTGGCTCCCGCACCACCCCCTCGCCTCCCCGCCCCCCAGAGGGCTGGAGCTGCTCGCGGGGCCTTTGAACCCGGCGCTCCGGGGGTCTCCTGGAGCTGAGGACGCGCCCAGCACAGCAGCCCCACAGAGCACCCAGCACGGCAAGGGGCGGGGGCGGTGCGCAGGCGGGTGCAGTGGGTGTGGGCCGGGACAGCTGCTGGGAGGCCACGCGAACACACACACACGCACACACACTCACACACAGACAGGGGCACACTCGCATTCACACTGCCTCTGCTCACTGCTCTGCTGCCCCAGGACCTGCAGCTCCCACCCCTGATAAAAGGGTGTGCAGGAGGGCTGCTGTCTTTCAGCGCAGGGGCCAAGGGAAAGCGACTCTTCTCGCTGTTCACCTAATGACAACTCCCCGTCTGCCAAGGCCCTGGCCGTACTTTATACCCGTGACTCAGGGTACTGGCTTGTCTCCCTGCCTCTCCCAGGAGCTCGGAGCCAGTGGGTGTGAGCACGGGCCGGGAGCAAAGTCAACCAGGCAGGGTTAGCGGTCCTGGTCCTGGGGTGGCCTGGACTTGCTCATGGACCTGCACAGAGGGCCGGCTTCAGAGAGAGGCAGGACTCCTTCCGAGTCCGCATGCTGGCTGTTCTCCCAGCCCACCCAGGACCTGTCTTCAGCATGAAGTACGTCCAGAACAGGAGGGCTGGTCTATGTTGTTCTTTACCAAGGTCATCTGGGCTGAGACTTGTCCCTGGGCCCATCGGAAGTAGTCACGAAAGATTTGTGGGTGAATGGATGAGTGAATGAATGAATGAATGAATGAGTGAATGCTTCCCATGGATTAGGCCCTGGATGCTGACTCCTGAGGACACCAAGAAGCCCTTATAACCCCTCCTTAGCAGCATCCCCTGACCAGAGGGAAGGAGCATAAGGAGCGGCAGCAGTCCCAATGTCACCAGGCAGTTCCCTCCCGCCACCGCCTACCCTGTCTGCTTGGATTGGATTGGAGGGGGCCTCCCGGGGAACCCAGGACACAGCAGGGAGTCACGGGCACGGGGAGGAAGAGAAACAGGTCTGAGCCCTGCAGTTGCTCAGCATGTCTCAGGTCATTTTCGACTTAAAACATGTCTGAAATCCTTTGTCATTCTTCCCATAAACTGTGGCGTTGAATACCACCCCATCCCCTTTACCCTGAACGATCCGCTTCTAAAAAAAACAGGGCAACGAAAGTGATAAGAATGACTTCTGGGAGAAAGTCATAGAAGGTGCTACAATTTTCATCTGGCTCTCTCTCGGCACTCTTGTCCTCTAGATTCAGCCACCATGCTGGAAGGAAGCTCAAACAAGCCCCAACGTGGAGCATTCACCTGGAAATGGAGAAACCTACCTGGAGAGACACTGAGGTCTTCCCGCCAACGGCCAGCGCCAACCACTAACATGTAAATGAATGAGCCTCAGATGACTGGAGGCCCCAGCCTTCAAAGCTTCCAACTGAAGACTAGCTGCCCCAACTGTGCCCTGTCTGAATTCTGACCCACCAAACCGATGGGCATGATGAATGATCGTTTGGACCACTCCATTTTGGGTGACTTGTTGCAGAGCCATTGTAACTAAAATAGTAGTCAAGCATCAGCTCAGTCCCCTGCCCCGGCCCCTCCCATTCTTCCAGTCCTTGAGTCCAAGTCGAGGAGAGGAGAGGAATAGACACCTCTTTGAGGGTCGCTTGCCTCCCACAAGGACAGGGCTCTGTAAGGGCTTCCACTTTATTTTCTGTGCTCCACATCTTGAAAATTAGAAAAACCCAAAAGTGTTTCTTCTAGGAGTAACTTCTGCTCCACTGGGCTAGGATTTGGATCACTTCGTTATTATCTACTAGAAGCCTGGGTGCACAAAATTCATGCACTGGGGGCTGAGGGGTCCCTCGGCCTGGCCCACACCCTCTCACAGTCCAGGACCCCTTGCTCCCTGCTGCTCCTTATCGCTCGGCTTGCTGCCCCTTAGAGCAGCTGCAGAGGTGGAGAGGCTCCTGCCTCCGGTGCTGTGCTCACCAGCCATGAGCCCAGCTTCAGGTGAGCGGCGCTCCCCCTGCTGAGCATCTGCCCCCTGATCGTCAGTGTGCATCATAGCGAATGGCCGTTCTTGTAGTTCTGCTTTCAACTGTCGCTTAAGCTTTTATTATATAGATTTCTTTGGAATTAAAATATCCATCACACACCATATAAAATAGTATTAGATTGGAGGATGGCTGGAAAAAGAGAAAATACACTCATCAGCTAAAAGGGGAAAATGGCTAGAAGACATTTCCTGGTGTGTTCAGACCGTGAGATGTCAGCGCTGCTAGGCTGCGCACTGTGTCCACTGCCTCCTGCAGCTCAAACTAACACCGACGCCCCCTGAACTAGCCTGGGAGGCAGGTGGCTGCACAGTCAGGATGGTGCTGGCCTTATTAAACCATCACCACCATCCATTTCCTCAGAGTCTTCTAACCCAGTTGAGAGCAGGAACCCCAGGGAAGAGAACATGGTCCACGAGATCATCCGAGGATGCAGACTTTTCATCGTCCTCACAACAACCTGAGTGCCATGCTTGGAGGTGGCACCCGCCATGACAGTCACCAACACCCACACACAAAGTTCTTTCCTTCTCTCCTGTCCAGTCCTTCTGACTGTGCCCAGGAGGACACCTCGGCTGGCTGTGTCTTTAACGGTTTCCCACAGAATCCCTTTTTGTGCTAAGAGAGAATAGGCTTAGAGCCTTGGGCAGATCACAGAATCTAGCTAAACTCTGTCCCCCATTTTATTTTATTGTGGCAAAATACCTGAAACATAAAATTGACCATCTTAACCATTTTAAGTGTTCAGTGGTTTTAAATACATTCATAATGTTAAACCATCACCACCATCCATTTCCTTATATTTTTATTTTGTACAACTGAAACTGCACCTAAACAAACAGTTGTTACACAGTGACTCCCTATTCTCCCCTCCTCCCAGCTCTGGAACCATTCTGCTTTGCGTAAGTCTCTATAATTTTGACTACTCTAACTACTTCATATATGTGGAATCATCTAGTATTTGTCTTTTTGTGTCTGGCTTATTTCACTTAGCTAATGTCTTAAAGGTTCATCCATGCTGTAGATGTGTCAGAATGTCCCTCCCTTTTAGGGCTGAATAATAGTCTATTGTATGAATAGATCACATTTATTTATCCATTCATCCATTGATGGGCACTTGGGTTGCTTCCACACTTTAGCTAGTGTGAATGCTGCTATCAACTAACTGTGTAACTATCTCTATGATAATCTGCTCTTAAATCTTTTGGGTACATACTCATAAGTGGAATAGCTGAATCATATGATAATTCTATTTTTAATTTCTTTTAGAAGCCTTATTCTGTTCTTTATAGAGGCTGCACCATTTTACATTCCCACCAACAGTGTACCAGAGTTTCAATTTCTCCACACCCTCACTACACTTGTTATATTGAAGGCTTTTTGGTAGAAATCATCCTAGCAGATGGGAGGTGATATCTAATTGTAGCTTTGGTTTGCAGATCCCTGATGACCAGTGATGTTGAGCATCTTGTCATTAGCCATTGGAGAAATATCTAGCCAAACCCCTTGACCATTGTTGAATAGAGTTGTTTTTTTGTTGTTGTTCTACTTCTGTAACATTTTTTTATTTTCATTCTGCTTACCTTTATATTTACCTTTCATTTATGACAAGCTATACTGGTTTTTCATGTGTGGTAAATAAAATAAATCACATGGGTTTATTGAACTAAAATAAGAGTAACCTAAATTGAAATATGAAATAGCTATTGTAAAGGTGGTGTGGGAACTTGGCAAAATCACAAAGCTGGTTCGCCCACAACCGAAATCTGGAAAGCTCAGATGTAAAGGAAACTAGGTAAGGAGGAGGGAGAGGGGAAAGGAGAGAGGAAAGAGAGAGAGAGAGGAGGGAGACAGAGGGAGGACACAGAAAGGAGGATGAGGAGCAGAGCATTATGATTATAGGTCCCTATGGCAGAGGACAGTGGACAGGACCAGAGAGTGCTCATCATTCTTGAAAAGAGCTTTTGGAAAGAATCTGTGGAAATTAATAAGCCATACTATATATTTGAGCAAGTCAAAGGTACAGAGGAACTTCAAATATTCAACTCAGTGATGATTTCTGATAATTTCTGTCATGGAGAAAAGGGCCAACAGACAGGAAGACACCTATCCACGCTGTTGGCACTGCCTTGGGAACCCCAGGGCTTGGTCCTGTCCTCTTGCGATTGAGGCCACCTGGTTGGATGTGGGAGGAAGGAGGACTTGGGGGAATCAGACTGGAAGTCAATATCATCAACACCCATTTGCCCACTTAATGCCACATTGATTGATTCATTAACTTAAGGCCACTGTCAAAGATGCTGGCTATTTTTGCCCACCCAGCACCTGCTCTCTGCCTTCTGGTCACTGCACTTTGCTTCTTCTTTGGGGACTCACCCACCCTTGGCCCTTGTGGTCAGGTGGGTGGTACTCCAAGGTAGGTTTGTGACCGAGATCCAGCCAATCGTAAGTCCACTCCACTTGGACACATTATTAGTTCAGGCAGGGGCAGGTTAGATGAGATCAGAGTCAACCTCAGGACTTTTGCTAGATCTTGAGAAAGAAGTTCCATGTTCACTGGAATTGTAGAGAAAAAGGGTAATGTGCCACCATCCCACCATGAAGCAAGACCAGCCTAAGCATGGACTCAACACAGAAGAAAATGGGGTCAGGAGACTGGGTTGATGCCCTGATTTAGCCCTGGATTCAGCTGGGTCTGAAATCTGCACTATCCATATACTTTTCATTTGTAATAGCTCATCATTTCTCTTTCGTGTGAGCGTATATGGGATTCTATCACTTTGAAGTGAACAATCTCAGTCTTCCTGGGCTCCAGGCTAAGCAGTGTGCAAAAGAAACATGCGATTCACGTGATTCAAGGGCAGGCTTTAGTGAGTGCTTTAATGACTCTTTTGCCCTTGTGACTACTCAACAACATTCAAACTGTCATTATCCCCATCTTATAGATGAAGAAAAACCCCAATGAGATCCACGAGGTTCAAGTGACCGGTCTACGGTCAGCAGCTAGTAAGTGACAAAGTCAGGATTCAAATTCAGTCCTATCCAATTTCAGGGTCAGAGTTCACAGCCATTAGCCAGCTCTAATTCTTGAGCTGGTACCCTGGGTTTATAATCACACTTGGCTTTCTCTGTATATCAGCGACGACTCATTCCTCTCCGCTGGTCTAGTTTCCTTAGTCACATAATCTCTGATGAAAGGTCATGTGGAGGAATGGTGGCCCAGTGCTT